GCTCCAATACTTTGGCCATCTCATGAAAAGACTCCCTGGAAATGACCCTGATGTTAGGAAAGTGTGAAGGCAAGAAGAGAAGGGGATGACAGAGGACGAGATGGTTGGACAGTGTCATCGAAGCTACCAACATGAATTTGACACAACTCTGGGAGGCAGTGGAAGACAGGAGGGCCTGGCATGCTCCGGTCCATGGGGTCACAAAGAGTCAGACACGACTAAACAACAACACTGCTCTTTAATTTTGTATTGATTCATTTTCTCTACTGTTTCTTGGGGCAATCAGGGCTTCCCCTTGTCCTTTTTTTAAAAAAAAATTACAAAAGTTATACAGTGATGTATTCACGAAGGCTTTCACGGCCAGGATCTAATGGTTGTTGTCGGTTTTTTGGGCTCTTTGGCCATGTTCTGAAGGTTGTTCTTCCTAACGTTTCGCCAGTCTCTGTGGCCGGCATCTTCAGAGGACAGCACTCTGTACTCTGGACCTGTGCTCTGGAGTGCTGTCCTCTGAAGATGCCAGCCACAGAGACTGGCAAAATGTTAGGAAGAACAACCTTCAGAACACGGCCAAAGAGCCCGAACAACCATTATACAGTGATGCCTCGCAAGACAAAAATAATTTGTTCCATGAGTCATTTCATTTTGCCAAAATTTCATCTTGCGAAGTGCAGTTTCCCATAGGAATGCATTGACATTTAATGAATGTGTTCCTATTTGTCTTGTGAAGCACGGCCACAGAAAAATTTGTCTTGCGAGGCACCAAAAATCGCAATGCACTTTCATCTTGCGAGTTTTTCATTGCGCGAGGCATCACTGTATATCAATACAGTGGTATGAGTCTTTTCTTCTTCACTCACAAGTCCCCTTTTCCTTCTTTCCCTGCATAGCTCTCCTGAAGCGGGTTTTAAAAGATTTGCAAAGTATTGTAAAGAGCAGGGTTAAAGAGAGAGAGAGAGAGGGAGGGAGGGAGGAGATGTTAATGCCTCATCCCTTTAAAGCAGGAAATGTCCCATTCTCAATCCACAAGGGAAAGGGAAAGGATGCACACAATCACAACAACAATAACACTAAGCAGCATGCGGGAGGGACAAGAGTGATATTATGGCTCTTACAAGAACATATTTCATCCACTGTTAGCTAATTTCCATGAACAGAGAACCACTGTTCAGTGCAATTAATTATACTTAAGTACTCACTCCACTGAGCCATAAAGATAAATGTGAAAAGTCTACAACTGTGGAAGGACTGGTGCAGTCCAGATATATTTGCTGTAGTTGCAAATACAGTATATCTGGAGTGCATCAGTCCTTCCAATTTATGTCACTTCTGTCTTGCACTATTGCTTTTCTTTTCATTTGTAGAAACAAACAAAAAGCAGAACCGCACTTACGTGTAAATTAGACCATATTTGTGTAACTTAGGATCCTCTTCTTCAACTGAAAATTTTAACCACTGTTCCTGTGGACCTTTCCGTTGTTCTTCCCGGTCCCAACTTAGGTGAATATTGTGGTGGCTCACATGTCCTACAACTGGAGGTTTTAGGATGGAACGTCTTTCTACAAATGAATCACACCAAAGTGTTATTTTTAACATGACAAGATCTTCTAAAAAACTGGAGAATAGTTTTTCATTGCCATTTGCCTGGAAATGTTAGTCTGTACACAATACTCTTAGAACTGCACAGCAGTTGTAGGACAATCCTTGAATTATTTCCTCTTTTCACCTGCAACAATATAATAATCAGAACTGCCAAGCAAGTTCTTTCCATATGTGGATCTAAATTATTACCAACCCCGCTCTACGAAGAATCCTCATTACGCTGACATTTTTGCGATCGCTTTTGCAATCGCAAAACGATGGTTTACATGGGGGAATTTCACTTAGCGATGATCAGCTCCCTGCTTCGGGAACCGATTTTCGCTTTATGACAATCAGCAAACAGCTGATTGTCGGGTTTTAAAATGGCCGCCGGCTGAAGAAAATGGCTCCCCACTGTTTTCTAGAATGGATTCCTCGTTTTACAGGCACCGGAAATGGCCGCCATATGGAGGATCTTCACTGGACAAGCAGGTATTCAGTCCATTGGAATGCACTGAACGGTTTTCAATGCGTTTCAATGTTTTTTTTTGTTTTGTTTGACGATGTTTTCGCTCTACAGTGATTTCGCTGGAACGAATTAACATCATCAAGCGAGGCACCACTGTATTTATATCCTGCTTTGTTATCTTCAAAGATCCACAAAGCTGTTTAAAAGGAAAATCCCAATCTCAAAGGAACTGTATGGCTGCAGTTAAATTATCATCTTTAGTGTGCCTGTTGAGACATCCAGAACTGTTAATACTGCTTCAAATGCTCCGGGGGGGAGGGGGAATTAAAAGTTCTTGTTGAAAAACACCTTGGTCCCACATGACTTGTAAACTTCAATATCACACACTGGGCTATTTATCAACTCCTTTACTGCCCTGGATGGATTACATATATTCCACAGTAATTCACATAAAATGTCCACATACATAACAGGCTTCTAAATTACTTCTGATGTTGACCTAAATAAAGCAACTAAGCTGTATTCAGTGGTATGCCAGCAGAATGAACACTGCTCACGGATCAAAATTGCAGCACCTATCTGTCCTCTAAATATGCTCTGTGGATTTCAGGGACACTCTTGGGAGAACTGAAATGTGGGAGAGATCCACAAGGCAGCAAAGGGAAACTTATGTAGGAAGAGGAGAATATAAAAACATACTGCAACAGGCTATTTCTGTATATTATTTTCCTAGTTATCATACATTATAATAGCAAAATCAGCTCACAGCATTCCTTGCAAGCTAACAATGCTATCAGTTGCAATGCAATTAACATGTTTCACTTATAAGAACATACAGTAAATAGCAACATCTCCAATTTTAACAAAGCTAGTGTATTCTAATCTATTGTTCCACAAGAAGAAAATTATTCTAAATATTCAAAATTGCATGGGGGATTATTAATTCATAGATTATATTACTACTCCTATACCTTCTGATAATCACTGGTGGGCTAGTGCCATTTTGGGGGGGTGCACAGTAGTAATGCTATGTCAGTACTTATGCTGAGACATTGGTCAGTCTTGTGCATTAAATAAGTCTTTGGGAAATGTAGATATATTTAGATTTTAATTAAAGAAAATACTTCAAAGACAAATTTATAACTTATCCTAGGTAGGTTTAGTGAACAATCAATTACATACTGTCACTAACTCTTTAAATATATATTGTTTTAATTGTGCTAATAAAATTACCACAAAAATAATGATCAAGTCATTTGGAAAGTGTTGGTTGTATACCTTGATCAGAATTCACATTTTATTTGAAATGTTTGGACAAAATATAATGATGTTTTTACAGGATTCCCCATTACTGTTACAAGGAATGTACTGTACTGTATTTGCCTGCCTCCAAAGAAATCTACCAGCAAAGATCATTTTTTTCCTTAGGACAATTGCAACAAAACCTGATAACAAACTTTTTCCTTTTCCATCAAAGTATCTAAACACTAAGAAGAAACACATTATGTATTGTGTCTTCTCTATTAGCAACAACTATAACAAGAATGTAATTAAAAATATAAATATATAAAGCTACATACAATTTTTGCAGTAAATATGGTGGGAGGCTTATGAGATCTCAGAGTTCTAACATGACTTATAGAATATGTCACAATCAAGTGACATAAAGATATTCTATGCTACATAAAGCAACATTCTGAAAGGAAAGAAAGGAATACAGGTGAATATTTTATTTTACCATGCTAGGGTCCCTAATCACACAACTCCCTTCATTATGTGCTATTTAATCCTTTTTGAGAGAAAGTGTGGTATAATGGATAGAGCATCAGACTAGGATTCCAAAGGGTTCAAATCCCTACTTAGCGATGGAAACTCACTGGGGAGTGGCAAAGGTAAAATACTTCATGAACATCTCCCACACCTAAAAACTGCATTGGGACAGCATAAGCTAGCAGCCCATAACAACAGCAATATTTCTTTTCTTATGTAGTGAATAATTTATATACAGTAATGAAGGGTTCATCAAGTCAGAAATTGTGAACAGTTTCATTGGCAGAGAAGAGATGGCTAACACAAAAGCGATGATTTAAACTATGTACTGTATTTCTTTTGATGTTCCTGGACACATTCCAATAGCCAGTATGTAAGTGCAATACGATTTCCAGTGTCACTTCTTTTTCTGAATCCAGCTTGAATATCTGGTATTTCTCATTCCATATACAGTAAAAGTCTTTGTTGTAAAACCTTGAGCATTACTCTGCTTGCAAGGGATATCAATACAGTCTGTCGCCCATTGTTTTGTTTTTCACATTTGTTGGCATATTATTTTTAGGAATTTTATAGATTTTGTCTCTGTACTTGCAGTAGTTGTATCTGTTACTGGTGATTTATATTTTCTAGTTGGTTTGAGAATAGCTTTCACTGAACCTTCTAAAACATTGCTTCATTATCGAAAGATTGTTTGTCAAAGAAATCTGTTATTCCCGCATCTCTTCTATATAGTTCTTCAGTATTTTTTTTCATCTTTATTTTAAATTAATCCCTCATTGATCTTTCTGCAACTCTAAGCTTGGTGTACATTTTCCTTGGATTTTTGGGATGGTATGAAAGCAATCTCTTGTTTTTTTATTTATTGTTCTCTAATGTGCCTACAGCACACTCTACACCAAGCTTTTGGTGGAAAATTATACCACAATTTACAGAATCCCACAGCAAACATGGCCATTGCAGATTCTGGTATCTGTAGCCAAGAAAAGTCTTTTTTCAAGTTGCACTGTGAACTCTGCTGTTCTCTGCTACATAATTACTGTTTACATTAGGAAGTAGATAAGAGTTTCTGAAATGATGATCAATTTAAGATATACTGAATCATTAGAAACAAAAAAAATATTGTCAGTTATGGACTTTTTTTTTAACATCTCTGCTTCTAATGCTTATATCACTCATGGATTTTTCCCCCTGTATGATACCCCATATCCTTTTATAATGCCTTTTGTAATATCTTTTTTTTAACGTCAGAAATTTTCCAGTATTATTAGAAAACTATTAATGAGATGATTCTTTGAATTCAATTCATTTGAGAAATTTCTGTAATGTAATTTAGAAGGGAGATTCTGATATTAAAACAGCCATTAAAACATCTCTTTAAACCAGAAAAAGAAATGTAGTTATTATTTTTAAGGACTTAATTATACAGCTTCAGAGCATGACCTTACTTTTTTGTCTTTTGATGTTTTTTCTGGCACCATACTGCAAAAGTAGGTTGATTAGAGCTATAGGCATCTGCACTGTTATGATAATTACATATACATTTGTGCTCTCGAAAAGATAATTAAACTACTATTCCACTTTGTCAGATCCATTATATTTACCATATGAATCCTTTTACCACTTTTAGGCATGGTCTGGTAGCTCAGCTGGTACTCTCTTTAAGCTTCGTATCTCTATATATTTATCAGGGGATTAAGTCCAGTTTAATAAAGTAGGGTTTATTTCATGAAAAGAACCACATTATTAATGATCTTTCATCACCTCTAAAGACCATATATTCCAGCAGGTATTTGTCACATTAGATTCCTAACGGTTGTGTTTCATATATACTGTTGTACAGTGGTGCCTCAACTTATGACCGTCCCGACATACAACCATCTCGAGTTGCAACCAGCTCTGGACACAAAGTTGTGCTTTGACTTGTGGCCAGAGCTTCAAGTTGCAAACAGAAAAGAGGCAGGAAAAAAGGCAAGAAATTCAAATGTAGGTACTAACCACTGGTCGGCGAAGAGCTTCTTTGTAGCTCTTTTGCCCCAATGGTTAGAGAGTGTGCATCTGAGGAGGCTTCAGACTGCCTGGTGCTGCTTTCCGTTCTTGAATAAGTACATTTACTTACTTTGCAGGGTGGGTTTGGGTTTGGAGGGGGTTATGTTTCTGTGCTGTGATTTTTTTTTTGTATTTTTTTCAGCCCCATTGCATTCCAATGGGGCTGGCTGTGTGGGTGTGTTGTTGTTGGTTTTTTCCAGTCCCATCACGTTCCAATGGGGCTGGCTGTGTGGGTATGTTGTTGGTTTTTTCCAGCCTCATCAAGTTCCAATGGGGCTGGCTGTGTGTGTGTGTGGGGGGGGGTGTGTTTTTTGTGATAATTTTTCAGCCTCATCGCATTCCAACGGGGCTTGTGCTGTTTGTTTTTTGTGGGGTTTTTGACTTTATTTTTTTGGGCCGGAATGGATTAATGGGGTTTCAATGTATTCCTATGGGAAATGGTGCTTCATCTTACTACCATTTCGAGTTATGCCCATCTTTTGGAACAGATTATGGTCGTGAATTGAGGCACCACTGCATCTTCTATTTACTTCCACATTGTTTTATTATATTTTCTCTTTCAGTTTTGTATATATTGTTCACATTTTATATTATTCAACATTGTGGGCATCTTCACTAACCTAAATAAATACAGTAAGACTCATTTCAAAAGAGTATGTCAGTGTGGTTTCTTTCCATGTGACAAGCAGAGCAGTAACTAGGGCAGGACAACCAGGGCTGTGCCCCCTAGTGTCATGTTCGGAGTACAGAATAGCTGCTCTGGCCTGTACTCATCCTCTAAGAAATTAAAGACAGAGGTGCCACACAGACCAAGCTTGCCTGTCACCTGTGGCAAGAAGTAAAGTGTCCCTTCCTCCATTCCTGAGTCATTCCTGTTGCTACCCCTGAATGCATGGGGGGGACCCAAATCTCCAGTGTATGCAGTGAGAGAAACCAAAGAAGGAAGCTGCAGAACTTCCCAAAGCAAGGAAGTTGCTCTCCACCCAGCACTGGCACCTCCTGGCAACCTCGGAGACTACCCTTCCTGTCATGCCTTAGTTCCAAGGACCTCCCGTTGGAACCAGAATTCAGGAAAAGCAGATGATGTATTGTGCAGAGAACACCTCCTTGAGAAAAGGTTTATGCTTTATGATTATAGCTAAGCTGTCACACAAAGCCACAGGTTATTGTAAAATAGATGGCCATAACATTTGATTGTCCTGATGCATAACCTATATTTATTTATGCATTGGGACAATCAAATATTGCCTAGACTAAATCTCATTTAATAAAGTAAGATTTACCTCATACAAAGCACTATTTATTGTCCTGAGTAACAGGTTAAGCATCAGGACAATCAGTTACTGTTAGGACAGTTTATTGAGAAACAGAATGGTTTACACTAAGCAAATATATCTCCCAGCATGCGAAACATATACAGAAAATTGAATTAGATTCCAATGAAGGAGGAGTGAAAACTGGGGGAGGGGGACCACACTAATTTCAGAAATGCAGATTACATGATATCACTGACAAACAACATGAAAGCAGGATTATGGTTGAACATTAAGAAAGCACAAGGAATGATTACTTGTGCCACAGGTGACAGGCAAGTAATACAGAAGAATTACATAACTGCAATGTTGACAATGAAGAAATTTAAATTGTTAAAGATTTTTGAAACTTTGATTCAATTATCAATCCAAATGGAAATTGCAGCCAAGAAATCAGAGGAATAGAGAGACTCCCAAGAGTAACTATGAAGGAACAAAAAAGATTGTCAGTTGTAGCAATGATTTCAACAGTGGTGACCAAGATTATCCATACTATGGTATCTCTGGATACGAAAAAAAAAAAGAGCAGTGTGCTTAGTGAAAGGACCTTTTGGAGGTCATTAATTTATAGTATCACCATAAGTTAGAAGCAAGCTGACAGTATGTTACCACAAATATGTATGCTTACTCAGACATTAATTTCTCTTTTATTTATTGGGATCTACTCCCAGGCATGTTTGCACAGAATTACAGCTTAGTGAGGAATCCCTCTCAGATTCAAAGGACATCTCCTGCATTTTTATTAATTGCGAAGAACAGAGGAATGGGTGTAACTTGCATGAAAATAGATGCTTATAGACATTCCCACTTTTTCACAACTATTAAAATTATAAGGTACCATCTGGCCACCCTAAGAGGCGTTTCCTTTTCCTGCATATTCGTACATGATATTTTGGTATCAGTCCCATTCCATTTCATCTGATGAATCAGAAACCAAATAATAACTCATGACAGAAATTTGGGTAATGGTGAGATTCAGCCAATTAAATTTATCTTTATCTGACATGTTGGATAAAATTTTACCATACCATATGTAGTTCCTGCCCCCATTTGCTCTATAAATATTTTACTTCAAGCAATGCAGATGCCTTTTCTTTTCTGTATTGAAACATACTATGCTTTGTATGAGTTGGTCTGTAAGAAGTGTTTATTTCTTGTTTAATCCATGACTACAATAAATGGTTATAGTTCAGGATGTACAGGTCTCAATCACAAAAAGACAAGCAGAGAGAAGAATTTTACAGGGACTACCACTAGAACAAATGCAGACACCTTCTTCTACCATCTTTCTGCAATATTTAACCAACTTTCAACTCTGATTACAGGCCATTTCTGATGCCCCCTTCTGGTCTCAGTCCTGGCTTTCAATCTTTTATTCTCCTTTTACCGTAATTCCAGGCAAAGCACATTCTTCAGTTTGAATAATATTTCCAAGTCCTCTTCTTGAACCAGAATCATCATATCCCTCTGCTCCTCTTCCTACGCCTATGGCTAACACACCAGACTTCCCTTTTTTCTCTCTTTCATTACTACAAATCTCAACTAAATGGAGGAATTGCCTCTACCTGAAAGCACAAGTGGGACGTGGTGGCGCTTTGGGTTAAACTGCAGAAGCCTCTGTGCTGCAAGGTCAGAAGACCAGCAGTCGTAAGATCGCATCCAGGCGACGGAGTGAGCTCCCGTCGCTTGTCCCAGCTCTTGCCAACCTAGCAGTTCGAAAGCATGTAAAAATGCGAGTAAATAAGTAGGTTCCACTACAGTGGGACAGTAATGGTGTTCCATGTCTAGACGCGCTAGCCACGTGACTCCACTACAGTGGGACAATAATGGTGTTCCGTGTCTAGACGCGCTAGCCACGTGACCACGGAAACTGTTTTCAAACGCTGGCTCTATGGCTTGGAGACAGGGATGAGCACCTCACCCTAGAGTCGGACATGACTAGACTAAATGTCAAGGGGGGCCTAAGAGAGCACAAGCTCCCCCCTCCAGCCCCCAAAAACAAACAGAATGGGTTTTGTTTCAGAATGGAAATTAATAGTAGATGCCAAATTTCAGACACACAGTCAAGTTTTGAAACACTACAATCAATATATTGGAATCCCACTCAATCTTTTGAGTTCACTACTCTAGAGTAAAGGTGTTTTTTTAACAGGATTTCTTTTTTAAAAGAGTTATACAATAAACAGAAACCCAACAGATGCTTGTCTAAATTGTCTTTCTCTGCATCTCCATGCTGAAAAAAGGGCTTGGACGAATTTGCTAGACATGTAGGTACAGTATCAGAACAGAAAAGTACCAAAAACCATGGTGATCTGAATTCACAGCTTTTATTTCCTTTCTCCCTATGGATCCCTTCCCCATTTTAACTTCTGTACTCTCGGTTTTTACACGCATTCTCTCCTAACCATTCACAAAAAATCCTTCTTCTCTCTCATTCTCTGATAATTGACTTTTTAAAAAGCGTTGATGGATTCAGAAAGCCCAGGAATCTCACCCGCTGGATGGATACACTCTCCTGAAGACAGGAAATACTTTAGTGATGCACTGGGTTTCTCAGCAGTAACAGAGAACGCACTCTGCACATGCTCGCTTCATTACTGCTTCACACTTCGGGGGTTAACAAACACTCCTGCGTTCTCATGCCCCGGGCTGTGTTTCCATATCTAAAACAAGGGTCCCCTCCTTCCACCGTTTCAACGTATTCTCACCCCAGTTTCCTTCCTTCTCAGCCATGCTGCCCCCTCTTTTCTGCCTCAGATCCAGTCACCTTGAACCTTCTCCGTGGGCCGCTCCGTGCTCCGTTTGCCCGCAAGGCCGCGCCCAGCGTCCCGTTGCCATAGCAACGCAACTGCTCGGCGAGGCCCGCAGCCGCGACCTTGGAGTCCCGGCGTCAAAGGGACGGAGAGACGAGGGAGGGAAAGGGACAAGGACGTCGAGGAATCGTCCCGCTTCGATCTGAATGTGAATAATCTGGATGTGGCAGGCAAAATCAATGCCATCGTTAAGTGATATTTATCGCTTTGTAATGAAAGACGTCTATCAGGACTGAAGGCTGCCTGGGCAGGAATCCCGCAGCTTTCCCGCTTGTTTTCCCTCAGAGATTTCATTTGCTCCCCTTGTTGAGGGAAAATCCTAATTATTTGTCCTCAATTAGCCGTTTTTCATGGAAACGAGGATAATGTTCGCAGAAACGAACTCACTGGAATTATGGATTAGACAAGTAAAGTAGCCACATCTCCTCCTTCACGAAGGACACTGCAAAAAAGGGGAAAAAATGTTGCCAGTGTCCTAGCAACACACTTTTGAAGGGGGCCTCCATTTGAAGAGCTGTCCAGTCCTAGTTAAAGGCAAAACCTGAAGAAGGAAGGTCAGTTGAAGCTGGCCAGCAGCTACATGAGGTCTTGGGGAGAGCCCACTCAAAAGACATTGAGCTCACTTCTTCACTGCCTTTTCCCCTCCAGCAAGAGGTAATAAAATTCTGTTTAAATCATAAAACTCATTTCTGATTTTGCATTGGTACATACAGCCCTGACTTTTAGTGATCCATGTCCTTTTTTGATTACAAGGAGTGGACAAGTACCTACACCTCTGTAAACTCCACAATATCAGACAAAAGGAACACAGTGTAGAACTGGGAATTCACTACAGCAACATAGAATATTGCTCACGGGGTATTTAAGCTGAACCTAGGCTGCCCCAGAAGGCTCTGTTTTCAGGCATGTAGCCATGGAAGAGGAGCATGGAGGACTGTCCAAACATTCCTCTGCTTCTCAGTGCACAGACAAACTGCATTCTCGAAGGCTGCATTCTCGAAGGCTTTCACGGCCGGGATCTGATGGTTGTTGTGGGTTTTTCAGGCTCTTTCTGCCCTGCTAGAATGCATATTACTTTTCTGGTAAAGGATGTCATGCATATATAACAACTGTGTTCATGAGAACTATGCCTAACTTTTCATTTAATTACAGTGGGGTCTTGATTTGAGAACTTAATCCGTATTGGAAGGCGGTTCTCAAGTCAAAAAGTCTGTAAGTCAAGTCTCCATTGACCTACAGTGCATTGAAAACTGATTAATCCCGTAACAGGCCGTTTTTGTTCCATTTTGGGTTTTTTTCTGGTCTGTAAGTCAAATCTCAGTCTGCAAGTCAAACCTAAATTTTGCGGCCAGAGAAGTCTGTAACTCAAAAAGTCTGTAAGTCAAGCCGTCTGTAAGTCAAGGGTCCACTGTACGCAAGTCACTCCAACTCAAGTTGTTTGGTGGTTGTCACCGTTTTTATTTTACACTGCTCTTGCACGAATGGACAAATTGTCAAGGGGAACCTTTACCTTTTCCTTTATGGCAACTATTTCCACAGGTTTCTGTGGACGTAACAGGCCCCCGGGCAAACACATTTGAGCTTTCCAACAAAGAGAGTGTGCCATGAGTTTTGGATTACAATGCAGAGCAGAACGGGTATTTTTGTCTGATGATCAAAAAGGAGGCATGAATAGGTGTTGGCAATGTCTGGTGAAATCTAAGAAACCAAAGAAGCTCATGGTGGGGAATCTAAAAATGAATTTCTTGACTCAGTGATGGCTTTTCCTTTCCCCAAACCAGCAGAATACATTCATGCAGGTTAAGAGAGTGTGCATGATTTGGACAGATTGGAAAAATAAGCTTTTCTTTATGTTTAGCAATGTAGCCTTGTTCTTTCCAAGGAGCCCCTGCCCTTTTAACACATTGGTTTAGTCAAAGTCAGTGCAGAAGCAGGTGCCACACATGGGGGGGGGGAGAGCTTGTGCCTTTTTCCTTAAAAGAACCCAAAGCGGTTTATATCATTAAAAGACAATATTTAAAACTAAAAATATAAGTATATACATACTAAAAAAGGCAAAACAAATACTACACTAAAAACCAGCAAACCAAAGCAACACAATTGAAGAAGTCATGCACAACAATCCACAACACTCAGGCAGCCAGTCACTAAGGGAAATCTTGCAGAAGAACAGCAAAGATGGGGCCAGTCTGGCCTTTGGAGGGAGTAAGTTCCAAAATCTGGGAGCAGCAACAGAGAAGGCTCTCTCCCATATACTTTATTCTGCTCACTACCATTCACACTTGTTGAAAAACAGCCCTGACAACCCCATATTATAAACCAGAGGTTTAAAAAAAAAAAGAGAGAGAGAGATCCAATACTGTGGAATTCAAGGAGAGGTTTTTCAGCAGAGGTCTCACAGTTGCATCATTTAATGCAGGCTGAAATCCTGTCCTGCTGGAAATATTAATGTAAACAAATTCATTACAGTGCTTTTTGCTGGTAATAAAACATGAAGGATAGATATGGGTTGTTTCACTTTATTTTTAGAATTATTTTACTCTGTTGATGGGAAGGAGATGGACAAGGAAAAATGGTGAAATATGGAGAAGATTTAGAGCTCAAACCTAATAGATTGCCTTCTCCTTCCATTAACACAAGCGTCTTAAAGGAGAGGAAATTTGTGTCTGGCAAGTGAAATATGCTTTGAGATAAAATCTATATCATCAACATATTGTGATTGTTGCAGCAAATACTATGACTGGCAAATGCTCCAAGTCAGCATTTTTTTACAGAGGACATACAGCACGATAAAAATTATACATATTTTTATTACATGCTTTATGCTGGATTATAAAAATAGTAAATATTTGCAATCTAATTCCAGATCTTTCCTTTTATAATTGTTATTCTATCAGATTGTCATCATGTTAGGTACTCCATTCTAAAGCATTATTTGCACAGTCACATTTTTCTATCACTTATGAAAGTGCAGGCTTTATACTTCACAGATTTTTAAAAAGCTCATGACACCTATATTGGGTGACTCAGTCTAATTTATTTATTGGATATTATGGACTGTGAAGGAGATCAGCATAGTGTGCCGTCCTCCGAGGAGAGCAAACAAGATATGATAGCTGGATGTGCAGTAGGAGAATTAATCAAAATAGAAGAGGAAGAAATGGGGAGGAATAAAGCTGTAGCAGTTTTCTTGGCAGAGAGCAGACAGAATAGAAAGTGGGAGGAGCTAGATTTAATGAGATGGGATGAGATAAAAGAGGAAGAAGTAGGGGGAGGAGGAGGAGAATGAGATGACAAGGAAAAGGAAGACAAGGCTACTCAGATAAAGGGAAAAGGTACAAACATATTGAATTAGTGCAGGAGTTCCCCAACCTCAGAACAGGGGGAGGACTGTTACCTGACCCCCTCAAGTTCAGTAGAGAAGGATAAGATAAAGGGAAAACCAGGATGGAGTATGGTAGCGGTACCACGTGCACAGGATATCGGAAAGAAGGTGACCAATATTGGTACCACAAGCTATCTACCTTATCTAGAAGGAAATTACGTGAAGCATCCCTGTTGCAGGATGATATGTGTAGCCTTGAGTTTCCCAACACTGAACAAAGCAGCGTCAAATCTGTCTGGGATGAAGGAGAGAAAGAGGGGGAAAACTAAGGACTTGAATAAGGTTAAAAGTTACTAGTTATTGCCTGAACTGAGTGGTTTAGATCCGTTTGGCACTGATGTTCCAGAAGTTAGAAAGAATAAAGAATCCTTGTTTGTACATTTCCATCTATTTTTCCCGCTGAAAAGAAGGACCTGCCTACCAACAGACAAAGAACCCAATCACATGGACCAATTTAAAATATCAAGATCTTTAAGGTACGGTAATAGTAGGCTGAATTTTAAAATTATGCTTTGGCCTTAGATGCTACCAATTAATGACCTTGGTTAAAGAAGCTAATGGCTATTTTGCCAAATAATGTTAGCATATTCAGTAATTTAGCAATGGAAAAAGACATAGACACAGAATTGGTGTGTTCGTAGAATGTTTTCCATAGTGACTTTTCAATTTCAGCAATGAAGAGATTCTAATTTAATGGCAGATTTTAAGAAACATTAGCCAGATTTTAAGAAACATTGTCTGATCTCTCTGCTGGTCTAGCACAAGCAAGGGCTAAGTTTATGATACGTATAGGAGAACAAGACACACAATTAAAAGCAAACAAGCAGTTCTGGAGAAAAAAGATGAGGGAAAAGTAGAGGTCAAATATATTTTTCATAGAAGAAAAACTATTTGATGGAGCTTACACTGACCCTGTAATAAAGGTCCCCTAAAGAACAAGGAGGTGGCTGGATAGCTCAGTGGCTTAGCCAGATTTTGGGAGTTCGATTCCCCACCATGCCTCCTGTGAGTACGAAAAGCCTGTGTGGCTTTGGGAAAAGGGTTGCCATAAGTCATACTGATTGTTAATTACAGTGGTACCTTGAGTTGCGAACTTAATTCGTTCCAGGATGATGGTTGTAACTCAAAGCACCATTTCCAATAGGAATACATTGAAACGTGATTAATCCGTTCCGGCTGTTTTTAAAGGTTTTAAAAAGGACAGGAAAGGAGAGAGGAAACAATGGGCAAAAGAGGAAAGAGAAGGTCATCACAGGGGTACACAGACCCCTCAGACAAAGGTTTGTGCTTTTAGGCACAAAAAGAGAGAGGATACAGAGAGAGAAGACAATGAGGGGGAGAGTTTGGAGTCTAAAACAAAACAAAACAAAAAAACCCATTCCAGCATGGACTAAAAATGCTACCCTGCAAGACCCATCAAAGCACAGAAACATATCCCCCCTCGAATCAAACAAGCCCATTCCAGCAGTACCAGGCAATCCGAAGCCTCTCTCAGAATGCACATTCTCTAACCACTAGGGCAAAGGAGCTACATAGAAGCAGCCTCTTGGCCAACCAATGGTTAGTAGTTTAAATTCCCTGCCTTTTCCCCCATCTTTTTATCATATCTCAAAGCTCCGTTTG